AGCATGTGATCTATTTTGGAGAATAAACCATGTGCAACTGAGAAAAATGTGTATTCTCACTTTGTAGCATGGAGCACTCTGTATATATTTATTAAGTCCATTTGTTCAAAAGTTTGGTTCAGTTCTAGTATTTCATTATTGATTTTTTGTCTAGTTGATCTATCTATTTGTGACAGTAGGGTATTGATACTATTTTATTAGTATTAATTATAATACAGTGGGGTATTAATACTATTGCATTAGTGCTTACTTGATTATTCATGTCCATTAATACTGGTTATATATAGTTGGATGCATTAGTATTTGGCACATATATATTTATGGTTGTCATCTCTTCCCCTTGGATTGTTTCCTTTACAAGGATGTAGTGACCTTCTTTGTTTCTCTTAATTAGTCTTGATTTGAAATCCACTGTGTCTTCAAATAGGATAGCTACCCCTGCTTTCTTTTGGGTTCCTGTCACATGAAGCATTTGTTGTTTTTCATCCTTTGACTTTCAGTCTTTGAATTTCTTGTTGAATTGTTTGTTTCTTGTATGGAGCATATTGCTGGATCTTTGTTGTTGACCCATTCTGCCAGTCTATTTCTTTTAAGTGGTGAATGGAGACAATTAACAATGATGCTTATAACAGATATGTATTGATCTATCCTTGTCATGATCTTTTTTTGTTGTTGAATTCCCTCCCCTCACTTTGTATTCAATTTCTTTCCTTACCTGATGGATTAATTCTGTTGGGCTTCAAGGAGTTATGACCCTAATTGCCATTTCCTAGCATATTATTTAGAATTTTTTGGAGTGCTGGTTTCATATTCATGAAGTTCCTAAGTTGTTCTTATCGTGAAAGTATCTTATTTCACTATTGATTTTGAAAGATAGTTTTGCAGGATACATTAATCTGAGCTGGAGCTTGTTTTCTTATAGAGCTTGAAGTACTTCATTCCAGGCTCTCCTAGAATTGTCCATGCAGGCATCTTTTTTTACATTTCTGATATGGTTGGATCTGATTGATTCTGAATCATTGGATTTCTCTGAGAAGAAATGGATGTTTGATGATTTCCACTCCATAAGTTCATATCATTCCACTCTGGTAATTTTTTAGATTCTATTTTTCATTCTTTGTAGAATTCATATGGCCAGATAGCATAAACGTTTCTCTGTGTACTGATAGTTGGCTGTTCACGTTCTTAAATGATGGCAGCTTTCCAGAAACCACAGGTAACATTGGTGTAAATTTGTTTATATATATATATATATATATATATATATATATATAAATTTCCATGATAATTTTTTTTCCTCAGTGTGAAGTTTAGGTGTAGATAGTTTATACATGTGTATGACTTATTCATTTACAGGATTTCATTTTAGTTTTAGAGTGCCCATAACCATTGTGGAGTAGATTGTGGAAGCCCCTGTATTAACAGTATGAGGAGATTCTTATTCAAATATAGATCTTGCCCATTCTTCTGTCCAGATATTTTATTCAATTGTCTTACAAAATAACCCTAGAAGTTGTTTTGACTGCTGAAAAATACTAAGCTTCTAATCTCCCTAGAAGTTGTGGTGCATGCATGTGTGTGTGTGTGTGTGTGTAGGGGTGCCTAGAGCATTTTATTGTTATTCTGGGTATAGTGAGTCCCATCTCCACATATGTGCACATGCTCCACTATATTCTTTCTGTTAATATGCTGTCATTAATTTATAATGGATTTTTCATTCTCTTAAGATTTTTTTCTATTGTATTTACATCCTGTTATCGAATAGAGTTTAAGAATGTGTAATAAAAATGTGTTTAGTCCATTATGTTGAAAGAGAAACTTACCAAAATGATTGAGTTTTGTACGGTAAGATTTATTCCTCTCATACTTCTGCTGAAAGGATTTTTTTTCAGATGATAATGTATTTTTTAAAAAATAAAGCAAAATCTGGTAATCAAAAATAAACTCCCTGGACACTGTTGTAAATTTCTTAGGTATAAGAAAGAATCTGTGAAAGAAAAAATTGAGTTCTTAAAATATTAATTAAATAATTTCAAAGTTTTTATATTGTCAGGATTGAATGTAAGATAAGGATATGCTGGAAAGAATATCCATTGAGGATTTTTTCTTAGTATGTGACAGTGGAAAATCATTACCTGAAGGTTTCACTTTGCTAAAAAATATTTATTATGGTTTTATCTTAATTAAGGTTGTGTCATTTTAATATATTAAAATTTTATTCTTCTGTACTTTCCTTATAAATATTCATTGCAATAGAATTAAAGATTTGCATTCCATGAACAGTTAAGTAACATCTTTTTGGCATGAAAATTATGTATCTCATGGAATGAAGGTTACTTTAGTGGAATTAGTTATGCCAGCATTGCAAAGTATTATTATAAGAGAACAAATGACACAATTTAGAAATTTTCTCATTATATTACCATATATAAAAATTATACCTTCTTATTGAGTTTCAAAGAACATAAATGGTTAGATTAAAATAATAAGACTGTTGCAAGCTCCACTGTTCTTTGAATGTGTTGTCATTAATTTCTTTGTTTAATATTTATTGTGCACCTATTATGTCCCCCCAAACTATAGGAGTATTGTGAAAAGAAAGTAGTCAATGCCCTGGGCCTCATGGAGCTCTCAGGGAATTCAGAAAATCAAAAATAAAAACATATATAAAATTACAAATAATCACAAAAACTATGAAGGAAAAATAATGTCACAAAAAAAGTATAGGATAAAATGAGACTATTTTAGGTACCATGAAATTAGGAGGCTATTCTGAGTAGATAAATTTTAGGTTTAAACCTAAAAGACAAACATAGAAAATGTATTAGTGAAAACAGGGGCTGCTTCTGGAAGATGAAACATTCAAGTGTGAAGTCTCTCATTAACCCCCTTGCAGAATTTTATTTATAAATAAATTGCATTGATTTGGAATTGTTTGTTCATGGAGAAAATATAGCAGGAGTACTTAAAGCTTATAAACTCTTAAAGTGAATGTTTGTTATTTAAATCAAGATTTTTTTTTACTGTTTCAAAATTGCAATATGATTTGTAAGACCCTGACTAGCCTAGTAACATCAACTTTTATTAGTACAGAACATGTTTGCTAAACATAATGTTTACATACCTTGTGTGGAGATGGTACATATACATGATATATTTTCATTCCTTTCCCCACACCTGCCTCACTCCTCTCTCCAATCTTGATTGTCTTCCCTTTTGAGAAAGATCTATCTCCCTACTTCCTATTATCTATGTTTTATTTTGAAATAAATTTATTATTTCAGATTCTCACATAAGATAAATCATAAGATATCTAAGCTTGTGTGTCTAATTTATTTCACTTAATAATATGGTCTCAAATTTCATCCATTTTCCTGCAGATGACTCAAGTTTATCTTTATTAATGGAAAAGTAGTACTCCATTGTATGTAAATACCCCTTTGTCTTTATCCATTCATCTGTTGATAAATGTATAGGCCTCTTCCAAGATTTAGCTATTTTGAATTGTGCTGCTATAAATATGGATATGAATATTTCATTATAATATGATGTTTTAAAATCATCCAAAAAGAAACTAAAACGGTAATACATGGTTCAAATGGAATTTCTCATTTTTATTTGAGGAATCTCCATATTGATTCCCACAGTGCCTGTAGTAGTGTATATCTCACTGATAATGTAGAAGGGTTCCTTTTTCCCAGCAGCCTTGCCACCACTTGCTATTATCTTACCTTGATATTGGTTATCTTGAAATTGTAGGTGTAGGCAAAGTCTTTTGAACAGAATCCAGATTGCACAGGAAATGGTAACATGAATCAACAGATGAGATCATATCAAATTAAACAGCTTCTCCACAGTGAAAGAAACAACCAACAGTGAGAATGCATCCTATTAAATGGGAAAATATTTGTTTGTTATTCTGCAGGCACAGGATTATTTTAGACAACTGAGTCCTTGTCCAGGTGCCACCTGTAGGTGAGGCCAGATCCTGAGGCCTACATTGGGGTGCCATCTGTGGACAACCCACCTGGCCAGCCTTGTTCCAGGACATAGACCCACTACTTTTTTCTCCATTACTTGGGGGTGAACGAGGATGAATTACAAAGAGACACAGAATCAGTTTAACATGTGGGCAGCTAGGGGACTCTTAGATCTTAGTAGCCAGAAGAGTCCCCCACATCCAGCTTAACTTGTCTTTATTCACCCAAATACAGGCATAAGCAATCAAAGTAACACAATATTAATTTGCTTTCCAATAACCATTAGTATCTGCTCTAATAAACAACCTAACCCCAGGTTTCCTAACGGTTCCTTAGAACCTGTGATATACAATCACCTGTGAGGGCAGCCTTTCTCTTTGGGCTCACTGAGGAGGCCAATTAGGCTTCAATTTTCTTCTGGTCCCCAATATTACATAAAATATCTTAGAGCTTTAAAAAATCAGATGCCCCCAAATGAAATACCCAATGAAAAATGGATAAGTAAAATGAACAGACACATCACAAAAGTACATATGGCTACTACATTCTTGAAGAAATGATCAACATTGCTTTCTCCATCCCGACCTGCAGGCTGCTTCTCGAGGACGAGACACCGCTGTCCCCCGCTCCTCTGCATTGGTTGCGCCTCTTGGGCTAGGGAGTCCCGCGGCGGCGGCCACCGCGACTAGAAGCCCTCAGCTCAGTTTGGTTCTACTTTGGGAGAAAGAGGAAGTCAAATGCCCTTTAAAAACTCCCTTTCAGAATTTATCTCCAGGTGACCAGTCCCAGCTGCCCTTCCCCTGAAGATAGTCCCGGTCCTGATGGGAGGTGAAGATGACTCCAACTTACCCAGTACAGTGGTCTGGTGGTCCGGTGTCCTCTGCGTCTTTGTAGTGTGGAACCAGAGTTAATGTAAGAGTGGAGCAACCTTGCCAAAGATGAAGAACATATATTAGAGAAGTTTTATCTTTTTTCCTTCAAAATTTTGTTTGGGACCTTGTGTCCAGTTACTGCTTTACAATCAAGCTTGTTTATTTCATCAGAAATGTTTTTTACAATCTCAAGAAAAAATATGTCCCAGAAATTGAGTTTATTATTGCTTGTGTTTGGACTCATTTGGGGAGTGATGTTGCTGCACTATACTTCCCAGCAACCAAGACATCAAAGCAATGTCAAGTTACATGAACAAATACTAGATTTAAGCAAAAGATATGTGAAAGCTCTTGCAGAGGAAAATAAGGACACAGTGGATGTTGAGAATGGTGCTTCTATGGCAGGATATGCTGATCTGAAAAGAACAATTGCTGTCCTTTTGGATGACATTTTGCAACGCTTGGTGAAGCTGGAGAACAAAGTCGACTATTTTGTTGTGAATGGCTCAGCCACCAACACTACCAATGGCACTAATGGAAATTTGATGCCAGTAACCACAAATAAAAGGATAAATGCCTCGGGCAACATTAGATAGCAGTTGAAGATCACCTTTTGCTGCTATATCCACTGTGGAGTATATCCTATCACAGAAAAGCTTTTTAATTGCTGGCTAGGAGAGAGTAATACTTTACAATAAAAGCCCAACATATTTTCAAGGAATTTGCTGGATTTATGGAACTCTTAATTCTGTATATAAAATTTTAAGTGTTATTAGTTTGCTTCCAGGAAAGTCTCTTCCTTGCTGTACCTTATCCTTAAGGCAACATGGCTGATATAGTGAGCAGGTAGGTGATCTTTGTATAAATGTTTTGTGCTTGAGATCTGGATAAAACAACACTAAAATACATGGATTTGTTTCCACAAAATATTTATTTAAGTATATAACATGTTTTCAGACAAGTGGAGAATATTGTTACTGAATCATTCTTCTGTCATTTGTTCTCAGTAGATATAACTGTTCAACTAAGGCTATTAGAAGATGTGGTTTCTTCCAGTACTATATTTTGTTATTCAGATTATGAACAGAGAAAGGAAGCATAATGTTGAAAATAATGTCTTGAAATCAGGACCCAAAGAAAGTCTTCATTTGCACTATCCTTCAAAATAACTGAAGTTTGTTGTATATTTTTTAAAAATTACATTTGTAAGAGTATAATCTTGAAATGGTAGTAACCACTGTCTGTAACCTAGTCTGAACATTGGGGGCAATTTAATAACATTAAAGTTATATCTCTAATCTCATACTTAAAAATTTCTTA